TTTCATAGGCAAGTTCTCTGTGCACAAGAGAGCTGGGAGAAGGGAGTTCCCAGGACTGCTTAGTAATTATCTGAAACAAACACAGCTGCATAAGGGAACAATGAATTAGCATTCTTGCCAAGTCCTCCTCAAAGCAACTTATCTTCACTTTTTAAAAATATCGTGGTGCAGTTCATTATTGCTACAAAGTTAAATCCAGATGAGTTAAAGTGTATGCATAAGATAGAAGTGATAATATGCCAACCATAATGATCCAGGCTCAGATAGAGCCAGTGTAGAATTCTAGCAGGTCTTCACAGAAGAACTACCAGTAAGTTTTCTTCATTCTAGAGATTCAGAGATGGCTCATTATATACAAATCAATAAACATAGTACATCACATAAATAAACTCAAGGACAAAAATTACATGATCATTTCAATAGATGTTGGAAAGGACCTTGACAAAAATCCAACACCTTTTCATGAAAACAACCCTGAGGAGACTATGAATGGAGGAAATGTCTCTCAGCACGATCCAGCCTGGATGACCTGCAGCCAACAGCATGACACCTGGAGAAGCTCAAGGCATTTATAAGGCCAGGCAGACTGCACTCTCTACTCCTACTCAGTACAGTGCTTGAAGTCTTAGCTAAAGCAGTGAGTTAAGAGAAAGGAACAGACACAGATGGGAAGGGGAGAAGTCAGAATCTCCTTGTTTGCAGAGAGCATGAGTCCACACATAACAGACCTGAATAATCACCAGAAATTCTAAGTTCTAATAAACCCTGTTAGAACAATGTTAGGATATAGAATTAACACACAAAAATCAGTAGCCTTCCTATAGGCCACATGCGCACTGAGAAAGAAATCAGGGAAACAATTTTATTCTCAGCAGTCTCAAAATAACCAAATACCTTGGAATAAACCTAACCAAGGAAGTAAATGATCTCCATAATAAAGACACCAAAACACCGATGAAAGGAATTGAGGGAGATCCCAGAAAGCGGGAGACCTCTCACACACATAGATTGGAAAAATTGCTGTGTAAAAATGACTTTTCTAAAAAAAAAAAGAAAGAAAGAAAGAAAAATAATAAAATCTCTACTAAAATTCCCTAATTCGTCACACAGATAGAAAGGTGCTTAAAATTATAAAAAACTCCTGGAAATCCCAAGCAATCCTGAACAACAATACTAATGCTAGAGATATCACCATGCTTGAGTTCAAGTTATACAACAGAGCCATAGAATGAGGAAACAGTTCAGCGCTGGCACAGTTGGGGATATGTAAGTCAATGGAATAGAATTAGGGAGCAAGATAGACTCACTTATGTGGTACTAGTATTGTTAGCCACCTGAGCAATTTCCATGTTGATTCCTAAGGCACCTGTCCTGGCTTACACTTCCACCAACAGTGGGAAAGCTTCCACTTTTCCCACATCCTCGCCATCATTAGGTGTCATCGCTTTCTCAATGCTGCCCATTTTCACTGGAGTAAAATGGACCCCAAAATAGTTTAATTTACAAGTCCCCTATGGCTAAGGGTGTTGAGAAGTTTTTAAGGCCATTGTTTTTCCCCTGTGTGAGTACATGCTCCCGTGTCCTATTGAGAATTCCTTAGTCTATTTTTTATTGTATCATTTGCTCTTGCTGTTTACGCCTTTTTTATGTGTATTGTAGCTCTTATTCCCCTGTCAAGTGGGTAGCTTCTGAGGAAGGTTTCCTCCTCCACATAGGGACTCTCTGTTCTATTTGCACATCTGTGTTTGTTGCTGCCCTGGTCATAATAGAGAGGACGTGGAAACCGTCTAGATGTCCAGTGCTCAGGTGGCACTGGAGATGATTGTAGTGGAAGTGTGGTACTGTAACAAATCCATGCCAGGACGATACAGACCACCATGCTAATTTAGCCATGTAAGCGTTTAAAAGTCCTTGGATTTTGGCCATTGACCAAGAGTGGGTTCAGGCCCCAAAGACTCTTGGTGCTGAAGGTCAGAGGTGCAGCCTTTTTTAAAGGCAAAAACTATAGCTTCATTGATGCTGATGAAGGGCAGACTAACCTTGCGTCATTTGCTTTGTTTTGACAAGACACAGTGGTTATCTGCAACATGACAATTAATTTTGACTTACACCTTCCTAAGTAATGTTAGTTTAAGATCATGTGTCAGTAGGATAATCCAGATGTGGGAAGACAAACTTTCTCTCTCAAATGTAGATTCTACCTTAAATTTTTAGATGTGTGTGTTTGGCTTGGATGCCTGTGGAAGGCAGGAAGCATGAAAAGGGCCATTGTTGGGGAAAGACAGTAAAATACAGACTATAGGAAAATAGCGAGGGATACTGGCATATAAGGGTTACATTCGGGAAGGAGAGGGAAAAGGAGGAGAGGGGGTAGAGGAAAGATCACCTGAAAGTAAATCTGTAAGAAAAAAAACCCATGTGGAAATCTACAATTTTTTAAGCCAATTTAACAAAAATAATTTTAAACAGCGAGTTTGACAGGCTGTTCCCTGTATGACCGGAATTAATACTGCTCCCAGAGGCAGAGATTCTTAAACAAAGATCCTGGCAGAGACTTGGGCTACCTCCTTATGAGTTGTTAGTACAAGAGGCTCCAAGTGACAGAGAAGGGTAAGACAGGCCCCGCTGACCCACTCAGGTTCAGAGTCAGGGAAGGTTAGGGTTAGGGGTAAAAAGAATCTGCTAGAAACTTCATGACATAGCTATCAGACTTCTCGGACTTGGGGTTGTAACTCCGTGGTGTATTTTGGGAATCCCTGAACCCCTCGTTAGGTCACCAGCACTAAGACATCAAATCAAAAAAGGAAATAGAAGCAGATGAAAGCAAATGCATGCAGTAAGAACATGGTCACCTTTGGGAAGGATGGAGCTGGAAGGACACTGTGGTCCTCTGCCTTTCCCTTTGTGTTGCTCCCCTCTCCCCTTCCCCTTCTCTCCTCTACCCCTGTCCTTCTGCATCTCTCTCTTCTCTCTTCTTGTCCACCCTTTCCCCCCAGGTAGAGCTCACAACCAGTCTCACTTTGTAGTCCAGGCTGGCCAGCAACTTCCTGTGTAGCACATGCTGTCCTTCATCTTGGAAACCTTGGTCCTTAGGCTACAGTGAGTCCTGAGATTCTATGTATGTACTGCACCAGCTTTCTGAAGTATTCTAAATATTCTATAAACAAACAGACAAAGAAACAACAACAACAACAAAACAAAAAACACCTGGGTTTCACAAATCCAAACAGGTCCCACTGTAAACGTACATCGAGCTGTCTAGTTAGATCTTCTGCACATTGTGTGTGTGTGCAGTGGAGGAGGACACTGGTGTTACCCTCTCACTGAACCTGAGGAAGGAACTGAGTGCAGGACCAAAGGAAAAGAACATCCTGACCCTGACCTGACCCCAAGCACAAGAAACAGAATCATACAATCCAGAGTTTGGCACAGAAACCCACCAGCAGCTGAGCAGGAAACCTACCAATCCCCATGCTGAGCTCAGGGGCTGAAATCCCACCAGTGCTCACCCAGAAATCTCTACCCTGGCCCCATCCCCGCCCCCCCAGGAAATACTATAAAAAACTGTGCTTTCTGCTCAGCTTCCTGCTGCCTCTCCCATTAGCAGAGGCCACCACTCTCCTGGGTTTTCCCTCTCTGTGAATCTCCTGTGTGAGGTCTGTTGAGCCCTGTGATGTTGTGATGCCCCTTGGCTCTAGACTGCAGGAGAAGGACACATCTCTGAGCAGGACCAGGAGACCTGCTGGAGCAGAGCTTTGGTCCAGGAATCCATCCCTTGCTAGACAGAGCTGGAGCACTTCTGTAGGAGAAGCCTTTGCCTTCAGAGAGGCAGAACTTGAGCACTTTCAACTAGAATGGCTGCCCCAGGACCCTCCTGCCTCCCCCTTGTATTATTGGGCTTTTGGGTACTAGAGATCTGAACTCGGGTCCTCCTGGTAATATAGCCAGGCCACTGGCCTGCTTGTACTGTCTTTGTAGGTATCTTGTACTGCAATAGACATTAACTTCAACAAAAACATGTAACATTTTTATTCTTTGAGAAATGAGAGAATTTCAGACATGATAGACTTTAATTACATCCACCATCAGGCACCCTCCACTCCACCTTCTGATAAATTCCCCTCAGTTCCCCTTCAAACTGCAACTTCTCCCTCTTGGTGTTTCCCCTCCTTCTCTCCTTCCCTTTCTTCCTTCCTCCCTCCTTTCCTCCCTCCCTCAGTCCCTCCGTCCCTCCCTCCCCACCTCCCTGGACATTCCTCTCCTTCCCCTTCTTCTACAGCCCACTGGGTCCAGCCAGTGCTGCCCATCATGTATTCACGGGTGTTAACACCCCCTGCACAGTCAGCACACCAAGGACCACCCTGCTGAAGGAAACTGACCTTCCCTACCTGCCATCCTCAGCTCTCTCCACCTCCTCAGCTAGGTGTGTGTGGTGGGGGCAGGGCAGGAGGGAGGAGTGTGCCCCTCCCTAATCCACCCTAGAATGCTGACAGCCCTTGCCTCAGCCTTTAACTTCCTGGGCTTTGTGCACCATCTGAGGCAGGTTAACAGGGGAGGCTTGATCACCCCTCCCTCTTCTTGTTCTCTTAGAGGCAGAGCTCCTGGCACCCAGATCTGTCTCAGAGGCTCTAAAGAGGGATTACCATCATGAACAATGAATTACTTCTCAGTTGGTCTCTTCTGATATAAAAAGAAGCTTTCAGTTAAATTGAATTAACAACCTAGGTGCTTAGCAAAACACATCCTCTGCCATGTTTGTCCCTTTCTGTGTTAATAAAACATTCAACACCTGTTTATCTTTCCCCATCTGGGGTGAATAAAACACCACCACAGAAACAGTTACTTTAGTTTATATCTCTTCCCAGCTGCTGGCTTCTACTGGTCCAACACTGATATGGCCCTGACCTAGGGCACAGGGCCTTCTGCCCAGCTTTCTGGAAGCTTATCGGTCTCCACCAGGTGCCCTCTGTCCCAGGGTGTGACCCCTGCCTCTGCTCCCTCCACTTTTCCCCTCCAGGTCTTGTGGACAGGGGGAGGGCTGCAGAGGCTCCAGGACTGGGCCAGGCAGAAGCCAGAGCCTCAGGTGCCTTTGGGAGGCCAGAGCAGTAGCTCTAGTCCCAGGCCCCTGCATCTGACAGAGGTGAGTGTGTGTGGGGGGGCAGGAAATCCCAGGCAGCTTCATTTGCAAGTGTGAAATGCAAACTGACTGGTCAAGGCATGCAGTCCATGGAGGGTCCCCTGTTCAGGGCTGGTTGATGATGCACAACTTCTGATCTCCAAATGTGTGAATCAACACAGCTGATGTTGAACTGGTAAAAGTTTATGGAGCAGGAGCTACCAGTTGCGCAGAAGAACTCTGTTAACAGTGGGACTTAAGGGAGCTGAACAACTTGTTATTTTTCTTTATCACATGATATAAAATTGGCCCAGCAACCTCTAGTTAGATGTACAGATACACACCAACATCTTACAATTGTTACTCAGATAGTGCTTCCAGAAAAGGTTTGAATAGACAGAAAAATTAAAGGCCAAAATAACCAGATTGTAAACCTTTTAGTGGATTGTGTATCTGTAATGCCAGTTTCTTGTGTAATACTAGACCTGTAATCGCTGTGCACACTTCTGGGTATATTCAGAGGTTTGCAAACATATTTCTATCACCTACTCTGCTTACTTATACCCAGAGATGCTTTCCCACAGCTTCTCTTGGACTTTTCTGTGTGGGGGAGGGACAGAATGGCACACTGGGTGTGGAAGAAGTGCCTAGGGTAACCTTTAAAGTTGGTTCTTTTCTTCCAACATGCTGGGGCAGTCTCTCTGTAGTTCCGGCCATGCTAGGTACAAGCTGGCCCACCAGCTTCCTGCTGAGTCCTGTAGTTGGGATTGCAAAGGCTGTGCAGAAAGGGGAACATTTTCTTGGGCTAGAACTCAGATCATCAGTCCTGTACAGCCAGTGTTTTTACCTGCAGAGACATCCTGCAGGACTCTGGATAGATTTCAGAGCCTTTTTTTGGGTGTGTGGTTCAGAGGATCAAATCCAGAGCCTGGCATATGTTAGGCAAGTGCTCTGCCGGCCCTGTGGGATTATAATGTAGAAGCATTTCAGCTACAAATAGGGTAAGTTGACTTCCTCCTTTCCTGTTTATAGCTTTTTTATTTTTTTTGTCTCTTGTCTTATTTCTCTGAGGACTCAAGCCCTGCATTAAATAAACAGCAGTTGAGAGAATGGCCATCCTCAACTTAGTCCTGCTGTTACAGGGACTAATTTTATTCCCCTTTTAGCATAATGCTTCTGATAGGATTATCACAGGAGCCTGTATAATGTGCAGGTGTGAGCTCTCTCTTTCCAGTTTGTTCACGGATTTAATCAAGAATGTGTTAGTTTTTCAAAGGCTTCCTCCATCTATCGAGGTTGATTCTGTCATTCCTATCATGTGATGTGCTGAACTTCTTTTACTACTTTGCACATGTTGTAACATAACTTATTGTTCAATCGCCATATGTTTCTGTAGTTTCTCTTGCTGTTGGCCTTTAAACTTCGATTCCATTATGCTCTGATAGGATGCAAGAAATTACCTTTTTGATTTGTTAAAACTTGCTTTACATCTTAAGATGTGATCTGTTTTGTCAAAGACCCACGAGCTCCTGAGGAGAATGTGACTTTTATGCTTACTGTATGGAGTATTCAGTAGGCGTCTTTTGAGCCCATGTGGTCTATGGCACAGTAAACTTATCTCTGAAGTTTCCTGATGGGGGAGGTCTGGGTGGTCTGTTGATGTGAGCAGGTACTGAAGTCAACCACTGTGCTCACTTTGTCACCATGTAAACTAAAACTGGAACAATCCAGAGAAGATTAGCGTGGCCCCTGTGCAAGGATGACACACAAATTTGTGAAGTGTTCCGTATTTTGTAACACAACTGATGTGATGGGGGAAGGGTGTGCCTTAGGAGAGCAGGAGGGAAGTAAATACAGGAGGAGAGAAGTGGGCAAAATAGCAGTATGGATGCATGAAACCCACAAGGAAGCATACTATTACCTATTCCCCTAAATTAGTAGAATCTTCGAGCACACAGAGGCAGATGCTCATACACAGTTTTAATGAACCTTTCTCATGTAGGCTGATGGAGCTCCCTCTAAGATCCAAAGACCACCTAAGAGACACAAAACAAGCAGCAGATATGAGAAGCCCTGGTTTGAGTTGTAGGCCAGGGCTGTCTAAGAAACTCCTAGAACATACAGCCTGCTGCTACTGTGCTTGGTTATCCACCAACTAAGACACCATGCATTTCAGAAACAGGACCCAGAGGCTCCTGAGCTGGAACTGACTTGAAATCCACTCCCTGAGGATTAGCTTTTCTGGTACTGGGAGGCACCATACAACACTCCAAAGGAGAGAGGCAACCAACAGTCCCTCCAAGCTATGGCACTCATGAACCATATCAATGAGTGATGATAACCTGTAGGATAGTCCTGTGCATGCAGTAATGGCAAACAAACCTTGGCAGCAACCAACAGCTCTCTAATTGGGCTTTAGTCCTGCTCAACAATGGGCATAGCATGGCTGGTCCTGGAAACCTGGATAACTAACCAGTGCTGGTGAAGTCATGGTTATTGGAGGAGACTCTATGATTATTAATTTACTACAGAAGCATGATCTTTAACACCACTCTATAAACATCTGTCCTTAAACCATAGAGAAGTGTCATCGTGTAATTGTCACCCCTCATCAAGAAAACTTGGTTTTGCAGCAGATATAGACTTTTACAGCAAACCACAAACCACAATTAAAATGCAGTTTTAGAGCCCAGGTCCAATGGATGAATCCATAGTCACTTGCTCAGGGAACAGGCTCAGGGAACACTGTGGAAGATGGAGCAGCAGAGTCTAAGAGCCAGGGGAGGATGGATTTGCTGTGAGATTTTGACTCCAGAGACATCAGAATCTAAACCCATAAAGTTTCATCAATGTGGCTGCCCACATGTGAGCTGAAGAAGCAGGACAGCAACAGGCATGTCAAGACACATGGAAAAAGGTCGAGGAGACCTCAGCCTACAGAAAGACCTATAAGCTTCTGAGTAAAGCTGGGAGTAGAGAAATGGTCTCTTAAGAAAAGAGCACACCAGCTGCTTGAGCAGTGCCAAATGGGCAGCCGTGAAAACACACATACAAGTGACATTATAGGGACTCAACATGTTATATATACATATATATATATATATATATATGTATGTATATATAACAAATATATCTATGTACCTATATATATATGGCTACAATAATAATTTAGAAAAAAAAGAGGCCACTAATTTGAAGGAAATTAGAGAGGGCTACATGGGTGGATTTGGACAAGGGAAAAAGTGTTGTTATAATTAAAATAAAATCTCAAAAATAATCAACAACAATAACAAAAGAAGTCAGCAAATAAATAGTTGGTAAAGTTGGAAGACTGACATTACCTAAGAGCACATTTGTTAATAAAACGCTGAGACGTCAAATCTTAAAGCATGGAGAAATATCAAAATAGCTATCACTGGACATGGAATATGTTCCTTTTAACTATGAGAATCTGAACATTATAGAAGATTTTAAAGCAAAAGTTTTGGGGATGGGAGCTACCAAAGCACAAACAAGAAAAGGAACCAGTTAATCTGAACCACAACCATTTCCTTCCAGGAAGCAGTAAGTCACAGCTGCTTCATGGGTCCCCACGGTCAGAGACCTTGGCTTGATGGCATTTGTCTGCCTGATCAGATTACAAGCCTGCAAGTTTAGGAAGTGAGCTTTGTTCATTTTAGCTGTCTCTAAGACAAGTAGCAGAGCCCAGGGAACGCACAGTCCCCTGAGCTTCCACATCTTTTCTCTCACTGTATGGGAGCTCACTCGATGAATGTCTTCCATGCTGAACACTCAGGAAGGATAGTTCACACATCTCATGGTCCTATATCTCATGGCAGATTGTTCTAATTAATATGTTCTAATATTAATAGTTATCTTTATTTTTCCTAACTTCCTAACTTTCCTGACTTTATGTGCTGGGATCAGTTGATGCAGGGGGTGATGGGGAGGGGGCTTTCCTTATCTGAGAAGAGCAGGGGAAGGGAGAATAGGTGAGGAGGGGGGACCTGAATGAGAGGAGGAGGGGGCCGCAATTGTGATGTACAGTGAATAAACAAATAAATAAATTTAATAAAATAGAAAACACAAGACAAGGATATTTAAGACATTAAAACATTTAAAATATTAAAATAATGGAATATATTAAAATATCTCATAAGGTTTTTAATGTCTGGAAGACAGAATGGGAAGCCCCTCACTCTTGATGCTCTCATAGAATTTGCCAGGTCTGGGGTCAGGGTCACAGGTGCTGTGCACCCTTGCACAGGTTGGCGCTTGACGCTGCACAGGAGCGCAGTGAGAACAGAGCATCACTCACAAGGCAGACTTCCTCCTTTCTATATGTCTCTGCCGCTGCCAGCCCCACAGGGATTTGTGGTCTGAAGTCTGGGAAGACACTTCCGGTTGTGGACTTCCTCTAAACAAAGTACTGTCTCTGAGGTGCTTTGGGGATGGATGGCAAACAGAGCATGGAGTCCTGCACTGGAGAGGGGGAGTCCTGGGACCCGGGCTGTCTGCCTGCCTAAGCATCTTCAGATCCCATCTGGCAATACCCTGCCATGCGATGTGGAGGAAGCTGTGGAAACTGAGTGACCCTGGTAACATGGGGTCAGAGTTCTCAGCCCCTGTCTGCAGCACACATCATGCAGTGTGAGTCAGTGTCAGAAACCCAGGCTCTGCAAGCCACATGCCCAGACCCCTCGGGCACAGTGGTCATCCACAGGAGCCATGCCGTTCCTAGTGACAGGACAGCGGCTGTCTGTCCTGCTTCCTCCACAGCCTGACCTGTCCTCCCATTTCTGCTGCTGTCCCTCATGGCCGCCTGACAGCCAGGGCATCCCAAAAAACCACGGCTTCTGCTTGATGATTATGGACCCGCAGCAGCACAGTCAGACTCAGAAAACAGAAGCTCCTGGTTCCAGCACCGTGAGATGTAGAGTCTGTGGAAATCAGGCTGTGGTGGTCTCCGTGTTCCTTTGTAACATCCAGGACAGCATTTTCAGTGTGCCTTGCCATACGTGACTCCATTTGTAAAGCATGGAGTCCTGCACTGTGCTTTGAGGCAATCTGCACCTTGGACATGTCTGTACCTTGAACTCACACCGTGCCTTGAACCAAATGTATATTTTGGCTGCCCTGTTACAGAATAGTTGTGTTGTTTTTCCCTGACACAAGTCCACACTTCTGGACACACAGACACACACATACACACACACACACACACACACACACGTGGAGAGGCAATGGTGTTCATTTATCCTGCCTCTGAACTCACATTGTATCATAATATGGTTTTGAAGTAAGACACATCTGCCCTCCCATTTGTCTCTCTATGAATAACATTTATCCTCAACTCGTTGGGCCCAGGTGTTTCTTCGGGGTGTGGTACCTCAGGGGAGTCTATGTGCTTAGTCCTGTCTGCTTTTCATTTGGGTTGTTAGGAAATCCCAGCAGTCTGTCCTGTTCATCAGGAAGGAACCTGCCTATGACAGCACAGCTCAAAGAGGTCTGTGTGTGGTTGTGTTATAATTTTGCTGTCTGGACCATTAACTTCCTATTGCTTTTCCTTCTACAGGAAGAAAGACCCTCTTGAGATGTCTTCCAATGATGACCCCATAGTAATCCCAATGCCAGAGAGAAATCCCAGTGACCCTCCTGGAATGAGTGCCAGTGGCCAGAAGACTTTGGCTGAAGAAGCTGTGTTGAGTTTTCATAACATCAGCTATGGAGAAACAGTGCAGAACGGCTTTCCTCTTTGTAAAAAGACATATGTGGTAGAGAGACTGTCAAATATCAGGTATGTTCACAAAATAAAGACAACGGAGAGAACACTGTATTGAATAGCTTTTTCAAGAAACACACTTTCCCTGTTTCCAATAAGCTGTGTGTATGTGTGTACACTCCTTCTCCCAGCCCAGCCAAGGCCACTGGTCTTGGGCCCTGGTCCTCTCTGCTCCTCTACTCTGAGCTCCCGCCATTTTCTCACTGAGAAGGGGGTGGGCAGGACAAAGGATTGACACATTATCTGAATAGGAAATGACAAAGGGGAGGCAGCTATGTTTTATACAAGAATATGCCCTTTCCAGTCTGAATATTCACTAATCGATCATTCAGTCAGTGTTTGGGCTGATTTGTGTGTGTGCTGTAACTGTAAATCAGTAAACAATGTCCTCCAGCTGAGGGGTCTGTCCCAGTTCTAAGCGGAGCATAATCTGACCTATTTATCAGGGAGGGAACCATCATTTTCCTGGGGTGTGTATTTTGCTATTCTATTTTCTTTCAGTTGTTTTTCTCTAGTGTTAATCCTGGAAGCAGTTTCCTATCCTCTGAGTGCTTCTTTCTAGTCACTGGATTTCTGCTTAAGATGTACTGCTTGTAGTTTGATTTTGTTTTACCAGCAGGGACACAGCTACCAGTATCCAATGAATCGCTGCTTTCCTGTGCAGAGGTTCAGTGGGTAGCAACCAGGGCTATGTGAAGACACTGAACAACCCTCAGCCAGAAGCTGTTCCAGACTTGACACATGCAGGCTGTGTGAGCACTGGGGTCTCCATGAGAACCCGCTGCTTGTGTCAAGGAACACTGAACTTAGGAGCCCTGCTTGTCAAAAACACCAAGTGGTGTAAGGAGTAAACAAAAGGGCTCTGTGATATTGGAGGATTTTTCTGACGAGTCCCCACTAACAGTCAACAGCTTTTGTCAATAGCAGACCTCTATTAACATTTAAGAATTCCCTGTGGGTGTGTGCTGAATTCTGTCTACAATGTCATCCAACTTCACTGAGCATACCCCGTGTAGACACTAAGCTCCATAACACCTTCACAATGACACGTAAACCAGTGTGATTTTGTGTTTACAGTGGGATCATGAAACCTGGCCTCAACGCCATCATGGGACCTCCAGACGGGAGCAGATCTCTGTGAGTATAACAGGAAGCACACCCAAGACCCTCGTATCTAGTTCCTGTGCTTTAAAACAATCAGTTTTGTATGACTTGTCAGGTGTTGTGTGAGTGTGTCTAGTCTGGTCCTATGTGCTGTGGAGAAAGGGCAGGAGGCACGCCTTCTGATTTTCTGCAAAGTACAGGAGTCTCACCAGGTCTGCCTTGCTGATAGGAAATGATAAAGTGATTGACATGTGGTGTTGTGTGGTGCTATTATTAATGGGGCTGGAGACAGATCGTGTTAAATCTAGGACGGTGAAGCAGAAGTTGACTGCTGGTGAGAAAGCATCATCTCCAGGCCAAAGTTCTCAAAGCACAGCAGCATGTGCCCTGGGTTCCGTCTTCAAGGCTGGGTAGCAGAGAGGGCAGCCACGAGGACCATGTCTGGCATTCATTATTCTGGGCTGTATTATAGCACATAATGAACAGAAGGAAGTGTCTGTGTGTGTGTGTGTGAGAGAGAGAGAGAGAGCGTGTGAGCAAATGTGACTGTGTGTGAGAGTGTGCGTATGTGTGAGTGTGTGTGAGAGTGTATATGTGAGGGAATGTGAGTGTGTGTGTGTGAGAGAGTGTGTATGTGTGAGTGTGTGTATGTGTGTGATTTTTGGCTCTTTCTCTACTTATTTTTCAGTTTTACTTCATAAGCAGAATTTCCATTCTGAGCAGGATGATGTAGCTTTTGTCGAAGGGGAAATAAATGACACAGGGATGTAACCCTTTGTAGGTTACTGGATGTCTTGGCAGCAAGGAGAGACCCACGTGGATTATCAGGACAGATTCTGATAAACGGAAAACCCCGGCCCGCCAACTTCACATGTACTTCTGGTTATGTACCACAGGTAAGTGCTGGTGGGTTTGTAAGTGTAGATGTCCTCTGCTTGTGCGCGGGCAGGTGCTCAGCTTATAGACCCGTGTCCTTCCAGTTAATGATATGACAGGCTCATGGGCCCAGCTTTCTCAACCCCAACTTTTCATAGTGAACCATTGGCCTGACTACGACATCTGAGGCACAGTGCTCTTCATTGCTGCTGGGGCTTAATTCTACGAAGGGCAGCTGCTGTCCACTCTTGCCCTCCTCCAGCTTTCCCCACTGCATAGACCAGGTGGTCTGCCCACGGTTACAGGCAGCAGTCAACAAAGTCTCTGTGCTCTGCCTGGAAGGCCGGTGGGAGGGGAAGGAAATGATCAGGTCAGGCCCCGTGTAGTGGGAGCTCTTGCTTTCTCAGCTGTATCATGTGAAAGTGGTTTTGTTTGTTTGTTTGTTTGTTTGTTTGTTTGTTTTTGTCACAAGTGTGGGATGTGGAAATGTTTTCACTTCACTCTCAGCTGACCAAACCTCCTGTGGGAAGGCATGTGATGTTTTCCAGATGGAAACTGCCTCCAGCGAGAGGAGCATGGTTTCTGCCAGCTGGAAAATACCCGTGTGGACTCAGAGAAGGGATAAATAGGAGCTCAGAGTCAGAGAGAATAAACACTGGGCTTGGCTCCTCATCCCTTCACTAGGCTTCTCGTTGCTTCACTAAGCTTAGCATCACTTTGCTATAGCCCAGAGATTTCTCTGTGCCATTGCTGGTGATTCAGGTTGCTCTTTGACTTTGGCTGCTGGTATCCTGAAGACTGAGATTGGGATTTTCACCAAAGAACCCAACAACCCTAAGGAGTAGGAAGTAGCTAAAGAGCTCTATAGCCCTTTTCCCTGCTGAACTGCTTTTTCCTACCAAGGGTCAGGGGTGGGGGTGGGGGTGGAAAGGAGACAGAGGCATTTAAAAACTCTAAATAAAGTAGGCTTTACAAAATCCTATGGCTCAGTTCTAGGAATTATTAAACTTGAGAACTTGTTTTTATATAGAGCATTACACTGGTATGTTTTATATATGGACTAGGTTGTATCTTTCAGAGAGATGGTCTCGGTGATAACTACCACTAATTCTGTTTACCCTTCAGAATGACGTGGTGATGGACACAGTGACTGTGAGAGACAATTTAGAGTTCTCAGCAGCCCTTCGTCTTCCAATGACTACAACAAGAGATGAAAAGAGAAGGCGCATCAATGAGGTCCTTGAACTTCTGCATCTGGATAAAGTGGCAGATCGCAAGGTGAGGTGAAGAAGAGTCTTGAAAGACTCAGGGCAGGAAAAAAAATCCCTGTGTGGCTAACAGGACACTCCAGCAGCTGTTACCTATAATGTGTGTGGTCAAAGGGGGCTGCTGTAGGACTGTTTACAGGATGCAAAGGTGGAAATTGAGCTGGAAGCCATCTTAACAATGGCTTAGGCCAGGAGTGGCCTGTGATCCAGCAGGGGAAATTGCTCCTTACATGGCCATTTCCAAGTGTTCTTCACATGAGCCCCTCAGCGTTAAACTCATGACTCATTTGGAAATTTGACAAGTGCTTCTGTTTATGGTCTCTTCCTGCAGAGCAGTGGTTCTCCACCTTCCCAATGCAGCAGCTCTTTAATACAGTCCCTCGAGCTGTGCTGACCCCAGCCATAAAGTTATTTTGTTGCTACTCCATGACTGTAATTTTTCTACTGTTGAGAACAGTAATGCAAATATCTGATATGTGACCCCTGGAGGGGTCGTGGCCAAGGGTCGAGAAGCACTGCTCTAGAGGTCTGCGTTCCCATATCTGATAGGAGATTGCAGACTCGGGCTTGGTGGTTCACCCTATGTTAGCTTTTTTTCCATGACTGTCTTGGTCTCTGTGGCATTCAGTTCTAACGTGTTTAGCGCTTGTTATTCTCTGTAGCCTTTTGTCTGTGTGTTGTCTCTTATCCTGTCTGAGGTGGCTACTTTTGACTGTCAACCTGAACAGTCTAGAATCACCTGGAATCATCTAGAATGTAGAGTCTAGGAGGAGGAATCTCTCTGTAGGCGATTGTCTTGATAAGTTCATGGATGTGGAGAGACCCGGCTCACTACAGGCAGCACCATCTTTGGGCTTGTGTCCTGGTGGGATAAGAATGGAGACAGTGAGCTGAGCGCTGACACACGTGCGTGCATTCTCTCTGTGCTCTTGACTGGATGCAACCAGCTGCGTCAGGTTCCTGAGCTGGCTTCCTGAAGTGACTGACTGTGCTTTAAAACTGCGTTCAGATGAAAGTTTTGCTCCCTGTTTACTTTTCACCAGAACACTTTACCTTAGCACCTGGACAGAAAACTAAGGTATTCTTCCACCCTCACTCCCTGATTGCTCATCTTCTGTTGATGTTCTCTTCCAGCTCTCAGGTTAGGTTTAGAGGTACAGCCTGGGGCTAGAGCAACAAGAGAAGGACAGAGTGACTCCTATGGAGGCTCATGCAGGCTCAGGAAGGGCAGGAGATGAATGGTGAGCTTCTCCGTAATATGGAACAGCTAACTAGTTTCTAACCGACATACTAAGAAGATTATGATGTAATACTTCATCTCTGCATACTTAAGTATTCTTCATGCTTTAAAAAAGGACATTTGCTCACCTTCACAATGCCATTATTAACTATCAAGATGAATAAAATCTTGATACCCACAGCTCTGCCAGGTCAGTACCCATTCCCATTCCTCAAATGCCCTTCATCACTACACTGTTAATAGAACTTGAGCAGTTTAACTTACTATGTGTGTATCGTTTCTAAATATCAGGCTGTTTCCCTCTTCTTGTGTCCCCGAAGCCTTCCTGCCTCTCACACTGAAGCTGACTCCTTGAGAGATTGTACATACATGCGTGGTGAGCAGACCTTTGGAGTTGTGGATGGAGACGGGCTCCCGGAGTGTAATTCCCTTGCTTTACTCCTGTGGTGGCCCTTTCTTAGAACAAGGAGGAGGAACAAGACCCTGGCTCTTGATTCCTGAGAGACTTCTCCAAAGTCTGTTATGAGATGCTTGTCTTGGTGGGAAGAATAACAAAAACCTGTAGTTTACCACACTTTCTCTTTTCCTGAGCAATGGAATTGTGTTTGCTTTGGCTCTGTTTATAACTTGGTTTTACATTTACCGTAAGGTATGTAGTTTTGCTATGTTTTAAACAATCATCAGTCATTGTCCTAAGCTGCTTACTTGGCTTTTTAGGTACAAGACATGGGTACAGAGTTTAAGCCCAGGAACTGTTCTCTATCTCTCTTTCCCTCTCAACCTTCCTAGTCCCTCTTACATTACACAGTGACACTGACTTATAAAAAGACTATGGCAGTTTGACCTTTTGCATTTGTCCACAATTGTGAGTCATGAATTCTGTGATGCTGTACAGTGCAAATAATGTCAATATGAAGAGTCTTAAGGAAGTTGAAAATTAATTAACTTATGGAAAGTCATGAGATTTGACAGATTGCAAGAATTTTCATAATAAAACTTTTTAAGGATAACCTTCAAATGTATGAGTGTATGTGTGTGTGTACGTGTGAGTGCATGTGTGAGTGTATGTATGTGAGTGTGAGTGTGCGTGTGTGTGCCTGCCCACCTGAGAGTCACAGCACACACATGGAAGTCATAGAACTCCTTTCTCAAGGGCCCTTTCTCTCCTCCCACCTTGTTTATGGGCAGGGCCTGTCTTCTGCTGGTGCCTGACATGCACGGCCAATGCTGCTGACCCATCCCCTGACCCATCTTTACGTCTGGGTGGCATTTGCATACATGCCAGGGTACGTGTAGGTGTGACTTCTCAGGGTTGAACCAGGCTTCAGGCTTGTGCTTTTCCCTGCTCAGCCTTCTTGCAACTCCTAATAAGATTTCCAGATAGGAAATGCAGAGGGAGTATGTGCTTACTGAAAGAATGGGATAGTTCTACAGTCAGCACAGCAGTGTCCTTCCTAACAGCATCCTTCTGGGTTTTTGAGTCATTACTATTTTCTCATATACTGAGGAAAGCTATTTCCCACGGCACATTTTAAGAAAACACTAGGTAATGTCTTACTCCTGAGACTTAGATAATTCATAAAAATAAGGACCTATGGTTCCCTACAAAACCTAAGCTCTCCAGGTGAGTAATCCTTCATATCTTCAGCCATGTCAAGTCCACATCGTCCGCATTCCCCAGACATCCCTGTGTGCCGTCATTAGGGCTAGATCATGGTTCTGCTTATTATGTGTACAGAGTTTAACCCTCAGAATCGTTCCTTGTCTCTCTTTCTCCTCAACCTTCCTAGTTCCTCTCACATTACACTCATAAAAAGACTGTGGTAGTTTGACCTTTTGCATTTGTCCATGAGTGTGAGTCATGAATTCTGTGATGCCAAACAGTGGAAATAATGTCAATATGAAGAGTCTTAAGGAAGTTGAAAATGTCCTAAGAAGGCAATGTGAACTTTTCACTTTGGAATTTTTGGTGAAAGCAGTGTGTATGTGTGTGTGTGTGTGTGTGTGTGTGTGTGTGTGTATGTGTGTGTGTGTGTATGTATGTATGTGTGTCTCATTCTGTGAGTGTGATAACTCAGGAGCCTAGAACATGTGCCTTCCTAAGGAACAAACATTATCTGTTCTCAACACGGGCATCATGACAAGTCTGACCCGAGCCTCTTTCTCCTCTCTTGGGAAGAGAAGCCTCCTTATTCTCCACGGTGCCCACGTTTTTGCCCTTTGGGAGAATGACATAAGAGAAACTTTTCTTGCTGGAACAGGCTCGTTCACCCAAGGACAGCGACTATGGTTGGTTTTGGTGGTAACGATGGTCAATGGTGCTTCAGCCTAGATCTAAAGAGCTTAAGAAGAGAACCAGCATCGCAGTGGAGCTGGTCGCTGACCATCCCATTTTGTTCCTGGATGAACCCACCACCGGCTTTGACTTGAGTATGGAGAATGATGTCATCTCAGTTCTGAGAAGGTAAGAGCTAAAGGGACAGCATGGTTCTATTTACTTCATACCTGGTCACTTGTGTGTGTGTGTGTGTGTGTGTGTGTGTGTGTGTGTGTTTCAGGAGACTCAGAAGTAAGCTACAGAATTCATCCTTGTTTATCAGTGGGGAACTTTAGTTAACAAAGAAGAGGCTTCAAGAACAGTGAGACGGATGGTAAAGGAGGAATATTGCTTTAAGTACCATGTCCCTGACACCCTCAAGTATGTGACAAGTGACCTGTGGCCAAGACGGAGAGATTCGGACAGAGAGGTAGCAGGAGGGAAAGTGCATTTGCTCTGAGGCAAAGTGTGTTTGCTGTGTTTGGAACATTATATGGTCAGGGTGGACTAGAGCCTGGTGGCCTGAGGAGAAGGAAGGTGTCAGGAGCACTGCTGCAGACACCAGAGCCTGGGTGACTTGACAGAAGTTATGTTTCTTACAGTTCTGGATCCTGGAAGCCAGATATTACGGTGTCCACAGGCTGTGTCTGTCGAGGCCCGTCCACTGAGCTCGGGCCGTGCCTCCTCCCTCTGCATGTGTCTGTGTCCAGATATCCTATGACACCACTTAGCTTAGGACACACTTGTGGTGTCATTTAAGTGTGATTAGCTTTTAAAGGCTCTGTCTCCAGTCCTGGCTACATTCTCAGTTCTTTGATGTGAGGTCCTCCAAGCCCTCCACGTTCACAACTGAAGTGTGTGTATGGGGTTGGATGGAGAGTCCTAGGTCCCTCAGGCCACAGTGAGTAAGAAGGTTTCCCCGAGGCCGGGCATGCAGGAGGTTAGCTGTAGAGGAGAGCAGTCATGGTGGAGGTGCGCAGGGCACCCTGGGGATGAGAAGATGTGGGCAGCAGGCTGAGATGAGGGGATGCCTCAGCTGGGAGATGGCAGGATGTGCATGGGCTTCCTAGATAAAAAACAGCATTATCTCAGGGATTAGCCCTGGATGTGGTGCTGAGGGAATGGTTTCTGAGGTGTGGCTCCCGAACCCTGGGAAGAATGAAGGAAGGGAAGCAGTATCTCCTTCCCTTAAGAAAGAAGGCTGCAGCTGAAGTATTTGTAGAGAAAAGGTGTAATCATCGGGTTTTATACATTTTAAAAATTATTAAGAGTTTCACACTGACTGAATAATCCGAAGAACCACATAAGCCTAGGCTCTTGCTGTTGGCCTTTGCTGCGCTGTCTTTCCTGCCTGCCGCGTGTTCTCTGTTCTGACATCACGGTCCATGACCCTAAATAGTCCTGCCTGTAGCTTCAGGAACCAAGAGGCTCCCAGAGTACCTTCCCAGTGAGGAGGTCAGCAAGCAGGGCCTGTCATCTCCCTGTTAGTGGTCACCACTTCCTGTCTGGCCCCTTCCTGTCTGCTTCAGGATACTCTAAAATGGAGTTCTGTCAGTTTCCAGTGTGGAGTGCTTCTCTCTGCTCTGCTTCTCCTGCCATTGCTAGTCTTAGTGCATGGGGTCATGCTAAGTGTGATTTACTCCAGTGTTCTGGGTGCAGACTCAAGCCCTGACATGCTGTGTTCCCCTTGGCCTCCAACACAGCTGGCAGTGCATAGGAATATTTTTAAAGATTCATGGTAGGAATATTTTTAAAAAGTTTTCACATTGGTTGAGTGATTGTTTGTGTGTGTGTGTGCACGTGTTGTTTGTATGCATGTGTAGAGCACGCATGTATAGGTCAGAGGACAGAATAGGGAGCTGGTTTCTCCTTCCACCAGGTGGGTTCTGGGGACTGATCTCAGATCTTCACACTTGGCAGCAAGCGTCTTTACCCACTGAGCCATCCTGCTTGCCTACATGAATCTTGGCCATCTTATCATGCTGGTGGTTGCTGGATTCTATGATATAAAATTATAATTTCTTATTTTGCTTTTCATTGATCGTCTGTCAGGGAGAACAGCTCTTATTAAGCTATTATTAAGCTCTATTAAGCTCTTATTCTGTTCCTCATCTTGTCTCTACCATCTAGCTTCCATGTGAGCTGGTAACTTCTGCTCTTGTTTATTTACTTCCCAAGCAGACGTGGCATTCTGTGTGGTTTCTCTTCTCAGCTTCCATTTTGCACAATGGACTATAACATGCGATTCCTCATTTTTCTAAGTAGCAAATCAATCGTGGAGCTAATAAAAGGCCCTTCACGGTGAGAGTTTTTTATGTTTTTATCTGTTTTTTTAAGAATTTCACACAATATATTTCAGTCCTATTCATTCCTTCAAAAAGGATTCATGTTTTTAAAATAACACTTTTTAAACAAAATCTTTGACTAGGGCTGGAGAGATGGGTGAGCAGTTCAGAGCACTGGCTGCGCTTCCAGAGGTCTCAGGTTCAATTCCCAGCACCCGCATGGAGGCTCACAGCATCTCTTCCACACTTCCAGGGAATCTAATTCATACTTGTCACCTCCAAGTACACAGGAACACATGTGGTGCTCAGACATACATTCAGGCAAACACCCAAACACATAAAGTACAGCAAATAAGTATAGTTTAACATTCATTTTTAAGGTAAAATTTTACTTTCCTTTAAAAAACATCACCTTCTCTGTCTCTGTTGTGAGGACGGCCAGGGTTGCAAAGCGCAGCTGTGAGAGGAGGTCCTGATGCCACTCAGGGCCGTCCTGGGCCTTGCTTTGAGGAAGGCTCTAACCCCCTCTGCTCTGCCTCCATCTGCCTAATGTTCTGGCTTTCCCTGCTGCACTTTGTCCTTATGGTGGTCTCTTTGATCAACTTAATTGCTCACCAGCTGTTTCTCTTTCTCCTCCTACTTCTCTTTTTTATTACTTCCCTCTCCCGTCTCCTCTTCACCCTGATCCTCCCTTTCTCAAGCATATACAGGGGTGCTCCAGCACCTGTCGCAGTGAGCTCCAGTAGCTTCTGGAGGGACATTTGTACTTCCTGCTGTGTGTAGCTGTTCTCTTCTTAGATGGCGGTGCTCTGTGTTACCCTCCCATATAACAGGAGGCTCTTTTGTTTACGGGGAATCCTGGTCTAATTCTGAGCCACCTGTGTTGCTGTTCCTCTGTGGCCTGGTTGTCTCTGAGGCAGTCTTCCTGTAGACAGAGTGATACCTCACAGCATCTGCTTAGGAGAGGCTTTTCTTCAAGTTTCATGGATTTATTATTTTGCCGTGGAGATCAGGCTGAGCTCATTTTTTTCTTAGCGCTGGAATTCAAGGTGCACACTGCCAATCACAGATCTTCTGGTCTCTTTTTTCTTCTTCCTCCTTTCCTCCTTCCCTCTCTTCTTCCTTTCTTCCTTTGAGGAGGAAGCTCCCTTTCTGTCCTTCTTGCTTTTTTATTTTTGCCTACCTTCCTTCATTTTTACTTTCTCTCTTTTTGAAATAGAGTCTTATGTGATCTATTAGATCTTCTGGTTGCTGGGAGTATACGGATATGCCACCATACCCAGCTTTTGTGAAAATGTTTAATAGCATCTTTAACCACTATTTTGGCTATTGGTTCTCCTACCAAAATATATGACTCTCTGAAGTTGTGCTTCAGTTTTCCCTGTCATGCAATTAAACCAGTGATCAAATCCCAGCTTTACCCCTCACTATCTGTGACCCCTTGGCCTGTTGCTTGGCCTTTTGAATCTCATCCTCAGAGAGGGGAAATTATATTACAATTGACTATGCTGATCTCATTAAAGTTGACATGAGGTTATAGCTGATGCATTCAGCAGTGAGATCAAGTGGTTAGTCATATGACTCACATTATCAGGACAATGAAAACCAATTCCTCAAAATGGAGAAACTGTCTGTGACCAGAGGGAATTGAGTCACAGTTTTAATGTTTGCTCTGTCATTGGTTGTCTCAGGCTTGGGTCAGCCTGCAGATCACCTGGGCTGCCTGTTAGTGATCCAGTTAACAGTCTGAGATCCATTCTGCCCAGGGATCTATACTGTCAATCAAACTCATGTGGACTCTGGACCACTAACAGCTCACACTTTAAGAATCCCTGTCTATAAACAGAAGCTTGGAGCTTGGTTTCTCTCCCAGGTGCATAAAACAAGTGAGATGAGATGTTTATTAGGGAAATTCAAGTGGAAATGCGAACAAAGAAGATAACTTCAGGAATAAAATATTTTGTTGAGAATTTCAAGGTTCTGATGTCCAGTGACTTAAGATGTTTTCGTCTTTGAACTTAGGATATCGAAGAAGGGACGGACAATCATCTTCTCCATCAAGCACCCTGTGTACTTCATCTTCAGATTGTTCGACAGCCTCACCTTAGTGGCCTCAGGAAAAGTCATGTTTCACGGGCCAGCAAAGAGTGCTTTGGAGTACTTCAAATACCAAGGTCAGGATGGCTCTGCTCTGAGAGCTCCTTCATCCACAGGGTCTGTGTAGAGAACAGGGGTCATCAGGGCTGCTGTCTGACCCAGTGCACACTCACTGTGTGTGGGTTTCTCCACTGTAGATACCTTTGGTTGATTTGGTGACAGGACTTTGGTTAGTTTTACAGTACTGGCTTGTTGTAAGGTCTCCTTTCTTTCTCCTGTCCTGTGTCCATGCCTGTGTTTGAGCATTTTTACTGAACCCCACGTTCTACTTTCCAGTTGTGGTGACCCTCGTAGCTGACATGCTGGCTTCAGGGGCTGTTATCTGTCATTGGAGTAGCTTTGGGATGGTCCAGCATCATGTCATTCTTGCTCATGTAGATGGTGATTTTCTGTTTCCCCCTAGGGTGTGATCTGAAGCTGAGAAGTGGGAGATTACTTAATTAGTGGTACCTTTACATTTCAGGTTCTGGCTGTGCTTGGGGCTAGAGAGACTTAAGTCTGGCTGCATATTTTTATCTCCCTGTTTTCTTTAGAGTCAGATGGGATGATGAAATATTTTTCAATGTTCATGCAGTCAGCTTCATCTTTT